GTTCCTTGAGGTGCATCATTAGGTTGTGCATTTGAACTTTTTACTTTTTTATATTAAGGGCATTTATTGCTAGAAACTTCCCTCATGCTATGGCTTTTGCTATATCCCACAGATTTTGGTATGTTGTATTTTCATTTTCATTTGTCTGAAGAATTTTAAAAATTCTTTTCTTAATTTCTTCATTGACTCATTTGTTGTTCAGGAACATGTTCAATTCCCATGTGTTTGTGTATTTTTTGAGGTTTCTCTTGTTATCACTTTCTGGTCTTATTCCATTGTGGTCAGAAAAGATACTTGACACTATTTCTACGTTTTGAATTTGTTGGGACTTGTTTTGTGTCCTAAGATATGATATATTCTAGAGAATGTTCCATGTGCAGTTAAAACAATGTGTATTCTCTAGCAGTTGGGCAAAATGTTCTTTAAATGTCTATTAGGACTATCAGGTCTCATGTGTAGTTTAACTCTGTTGTTTCTTCATTGATATTCTGTTGGATGATCTATATGTTACTGAGAGTGGGGTGGTGAAGTCCCCTACTATAATTGTAATCAAGTCTATCTGTTCCTTTAGATCAATTAATGTTTACTTTATATACTTAGGAGCTCCAGTGTTGGGTGTGTAGATATTTATAATTGTTATATCCTCTTGCTAAACTGATCTCTTTATCATATAGTAACCCTCTTTGTCTGTTTTTACAATTTTAGATTTGTGGCCTGTTTTATCTAACGTAAGCATAGCTACATCTGCCTTTTTGCTTGTTTGTTTTCTAGTTGCATGGAATATCTTTCTCCACCCCTTCACTTTCAGTCCCTGTGTGTCTTTACAGGTGAAGTGGGTTTCTTAAAGGCAACATATAGTTGGGTCTTATTTTTTTATCCATTCATCCACACTGTGACTTTTAATTGAGAATTGAGGCCATTTACATCCAGTGTTATTACTGCTAAGTACAGATTTACTACTGCCATTTTGTTGCCTGTTTTCAGGTTGTTTTGAGAATCGTCTCTTCCTTTCATTCTTTGTGGTTAAGTGATTATTAAGTGCTATGTATTAATTTGTTGTTTTTTATTTTTAATTCACTGATTATATGATTTTGTGCTGTGCTTACCACGAAGCTTATAAAAAATCTTATAGATATAACAAGTTTATTTATTTATTTGTTTATTTTTAAGATGGAGGTCTTGCTCTGTCACACAGGCTGGAGTGCAGCAGTGTTATAATCACAGCTCACTACAGCCTCAACCTCCAGGCTAAAGTGATCCTCCTGCCTCAGCCTCCCAAGTAGCTGGGACCACAGGCATGTGTCACCATACTCAGCTTTTTTTTTTTTTTTTTTTTAGTAGAGATGAGGTCTTGAATTCTTGGGCTCAAGCAATTCACCAACCTTGACCTCCCAAAGTGCTGGATTACGGGCATGAGCCACCGTGCCTGGCCATAACAAGTTACTTTAAAGAGATGACAACTTATCTTAGATCATGAGCAAAAGAATAGAAAAAAGCAAAACCACCACACCCAAAAATTTACCTTTTAACTTCATTTCTCTCCACCTCCCAGTTTTGACTTTGTTGCCTCAATTTACATGCTTTACATTACCTGTCTCTTAACAGGTTGCTGTAGCTATTATTGTTTTTAAAAGATTTGTCTTTTGGGCTTTATACCCAGAGTTATGGATGGATTGTACACCTCAATTACAGTAATAGAACATCGTGGGTTGGTCCATGTATTTAATTTTCCCAAAGGTCTAATACCTTGAAAAGTTTTCTTTTTACATGTGTCCTTTTCTCTCAGATTGAATAACTCTCTTGCATTTATTGTACGACAGGTCTAGTAGTGGTGAATTCTTTCATCTTTTGTTTTTCTGAGAAATACTTTATCTTTCCTTCATATTTGAAGGACAGTTTTGCTGGATACATTATTCTTGGATGGCAGTTTTTTCTTTGAGCACTGTGAAAATGTTCTTCCTCATAGCGTGTACAGTTTGTTGCCAGATGAATTGCAGCTTGTTACCTGTTATTTGCTCCTTTTCTCTTGATGCTTTCAGGATCTTCTCTTTGTTCTTGATTTTTGAGAGTTTTATTATTATCTGCTTTGGGATGATCTTATTTGAGTGGTATCTGTTTGGTATTCTCAGACCCTCCTGAACCTGGCTAATTATATATCTTTCTCAAGTTTTGGAATGTTTTCTATTATTATTTCTTTGAGTAAACTTCCTTGCTCAGCTCCCCCTTGAATACTAATAATTCTTATGTTTGATCTTTTAAGGTTTTTTGTTGTTGTTGTTGTTGAGATGGAGTCTGGCTCTGTCGCCCAGGCTGGAGTGCAGTGGCACGATCTCAGCTCACTGCAAGCTCTACCTCCTGGGTTCACGCCATTCTCCTGCCTCAGCCTCCTGAGTAGCTGGGACTACAGGCTCAGCCACCATGCCAGGCAAATTTTTTTTTGTATTTTTAGTAGAGTCGGGGTTTCACCGTGTTAGCCAGGATGGTCTCAATCTCCTGACCTCGTGATCTGCCCGCCTGGGCCTCCCAAAGTGCTGGGATACAGGCATGAGCCACCTCGCCCAGCCTTTTTTATATGTCTTACAGGCAGACTTCGCTTACTTTCAGTCTCATTTTTCGTTTTGCTCCTCTAATGGTGTGTTTTCAAATAGGCTTTGAGTTCCCTGAATCATTCCTCTCCTTTGTCCATTCTGCTGTGATGAGTTTTTCAGTTCAGCAAACATATTTCCCAGTACCAAGATTTTGTTTGATTTAAAAATTTCTCTGATAAATTTCTGAATTGCTTTTCTGTGTTTTCCTGGACATCACTGATTTTCCTTAAACTGGATTTTGAATTCTTGTTCAGAGAGCTCACAAATCACCATCTTGTTAGGGTCAGTCATTGGATTTTTGCTTTGTCCTTTTCTGGGAGGGGGGTCACAGTTCCCTGTTTGATGCTGTTTCTTATGGGCATAGATCTATGTCTTTGCATTAAAGAATTAACTATTTAGTCCACTTTCCTATGTCTGCCTTGCCTTGTTTTGTCTTTATTGGCTATATTTGCTTAGCAAATCTTTACCACTGGATCACTGCCTACATGTCAGCTCTAGGTGGCACCTTAAATCCAGATTTGCCCTGGCTCTGCCTGTCCTGAGAAGGAAAGGTCTTAAAGGAATTATCCTGGCAGTGTGTCAAAGTTGGCTAGGGGGCTCATGCCCCCAAGGGACCTGTGAAATAAACCTCCTACAGTATGGTGCTGCTGAACAGCCACTCTGATTTGGTGTCTCCTTTGGCCAAGTTACAGAGCAGAGTTGCTGGGACTGGGAATGGTAGTTCTACCTCACCTCTTTGTTTCTGCCTATCCTCAAGCTATTTCTCCCTTCGGGCAGTCACGATGCTTCCTGTGGCTTAAGGCAAGGACAGATTTCCTGCCAGGAGAACACAACATAGTGGGGAAACTAGTTGACTACCTCAACCTCACTTTTTCCAGTGTAGAAACATGAGTTGGCAGAAGATTTTCTGCACACTTGTTGCCAGGCAGAATCGCGGGGGAGGTGTCATGAATGTGGAAGCCTGATTCTCCTACCATCTGCCCAGAGTTTTTTCACTTCTCTATGGCTCTGGAATCTGTTTCATTCTCGTATTTGAGTTCTGGGTTGTTTCTGGCGAAAAACTCAGAGCTGTATATTTGCTTTTGGTTTTCCGTTGGGTAGAGGGGAGTGAAGCCAGCTTGCTTCTATGCTGCCATTTATAAACTTTTGGTGTGTTGTCCCTACTTTAATTAAAATTATTTCCATCTTTCTCTCATTATATGATAATATAGCTCATCTTTGAGTACTTATCTTAACTCTAGTTTTTATTCTAGGATCTACCTGTATCTATGCTTGTTTAGTTATTTGTTATTAATTAATTTATGTTAAATTGTTCATTTCTTAGCTTATTTTTATACTTCTTATATAAAAGACTAGTGATCTTTTTATTTCTTGTAAACCCCAACTTATTCATTTTAATTATATCCAGGCATCAGGTAATTTCATTATGTCTTTTAGAGTAGTTGTGTCTGAACATATACATAGGGAATCCATATTATTTTATTATAAATTAGTTTCTTTTTGTCTTGATTTTATACTAGAGTTAGGAAACTATATAAAATTTAAAAAATCAATATGTAGATTTTAAAATCCATTACTATTTAAGATAATAAAGAGGGTATTACATAATATTACATAATATTAATATGAAAATAAAATGTTGTCTTATAGGGTTGTGAACACTGCATTAGATAATCTCTAATGTGCTTCCATCTCCAAAATCCTATGACTACCTGGTTTCTTTAACCTTACCAAGAATAGTGAACACCACTGTTTCCCAGAACAGTATGTATCCCACTCACAGAAACTTGTACCAAGTTGAACATACTCTTTTGCTAGTACGAATGTCCATTTTCTACTCATAAAAAATTAGTCATTTTTCTGCTATTATTTCATTGAATTGAGGAGGTCTTGCTGAATCAAATGATGCAAACATTAGTTCTCCCAACATGATTATTTCACACCCATCTCTGTGTCCTCTTCTTACCTAGCTTGACAAGGCGGAGCATGGAGGTATTACTTCCTCTTTCAGTACAAGCGGTTACTGAGAGGTTGTAGATGTCGCCTGGAGGCAAGCTGAGAATTGCAGTCATGACATTGCGTGTTACCTGCAAGATCATCAAAATCGAGGGTTTAAACTTTTAGTGAATGAGTCACTGCACCACCCCAAAAAACTAAAGGACTATAGCAGACACATTCCCTCTCTGTTCTATGCTGCACTCTGCAATTTATTATATTATAGATACGTTGTATCTTCTGAAAATTTTATAAATTCCTCAGTTGGGCCCACTGCAAGGTAGCCTTAACAATGCATTATATACATCAGAACAATTTTGGGATTAATTCCCTTATTTGGAATGGGTCTCATTCTGACATTTTCTCATATATTCATAACAGGTTTTAGAAAAGAAAATTACTGAGTTGCTACTGATACGTACATTCTAAGAAATTTAAAAGAAACCTACCCATATCTGTAGACGTGTGGCTTCCTACCTAAGGGCCATTGTTATTTCCCATCTTCTCCTACAGCTAGAGGGGACGATGTGACCTAGCTCTGATCAGTGGATTTTAAGTAGAAGCCACATGGACAACTTATAGTTCAGTTCATATCCTGTAAGTGCTGGGCTCCCACATCCTCCCTTTTCTTTTCCCCTTCCTGCAGGCTGGAACATGGAGGTAATGATGATAAAGGTTTATCTCTAGAGACAAGGACTGTGCATAGTGGCAGATGGAACAACAAAACAGAATTTGCCTCCCTGGATGACCCCTTAAAGCAGAAGTGCCCGGTTAGTCCTGTGCTTTAATGGGAGAGGTATAAACTTCTATTTTGTTTGAGCCACTCTCCTTTTGTTTGTTTCTTTATTACAGTAGTTTAGTCTGTACCCTAATCAATAAACATCAAAAAGCATATTTTGGAGAAAAGAAATGAGTAGTCCCAAAGTCCCCAAATCTTTAGGTGTTGGTGATATATGGGAAAAATTGGAAATATGTTAATTGTAGTTTTCTTGAAAATGTTTGGCATCCTGAAGAAAAAGCTGAAATCACAATTCTAAATATAAATGAAATCAATAGTTGCAGCTCTTACAGCTCACTGTTAAAGATTAAATGGTAAGCTCTGTGAAAGGAAGAATTTAATTTTTGTTCACTGTCTTATCTCCAGAGCCTAAAACAGACAACTGGCATGCAAACATCTGATGCGTCAATAAATGATTGCTTAGTGGTTTTCAATAGTTCATAAAACTAAATTTACAGACACCCAATACTAGCATTCAAAGAAACATACACTCTTTTTAATTTTCTTTTTTCCTTCTGCAACAACCATCCAGTGAAGCATTCTAGAATGGGACAAGTCCGTTGTATCATCCCCATATGTCCAACTGATATATAACAGACTGTTGAAATATTCCACAGAAGTGATTTCTGGAGCCACTGGGGCTACAAGGGAGAAACAAGGCACAATTTAGTATAATAGACAGATAAATAAATTACTTACTAGTAGAGCATGAAATCCTACATAGAGTCAACTTAGCGAATTAGAATTCACAGCACACGATAGTCTTGGTAACTTCAGGACCTCTCATTAACAGTGAAGGATGTGATACAGGATGGGCACTTGTTTTCTGGGATCCCACATCTTGTAAATCTAAGATACAAGACACCCAGGCCCATCTGTACCTGAGGATATCAAAGTCTTTTATATAAATTTCACCATTACAAAATTCCTAAAAAGTTCACTTATTTGGGTATATTTGTTACATCAACCAATTAATATTAATAGGCATCAGTGGAGTTATTATTCAAGTAGGATTAAATAACTTAGAGTCCTGTAAACTAAGTCTCTTTCATTTACTTGCAGCAAAGACGTTTATGGGAATAAAGAACAGTAGGATACAAGGTAGAAAGATAGAAGATCATAGTACTACAAGTAGGATAGAAGACAAATGTTATTTCCATAAAATAACAAGACACTATTTACAGTGTTCTAGCCCTGTTTCTGCTTTGCAGAAAACAGGCTCTTAGTAAATGCTGCTGAGCGAGTAGTGAGAGAGGAAAGAAGGCAAGAACAAGTTTTTTTTTTTTTTTTTTTAAATCATGCCACGAAGCTAAATTCTAACACTAAGCTTGCTACTTTATCATCTTACACATTTAAATTTTCAAAAATTTAAGCAGGGAATGCCTGTAATCCCTGCATTTCAGGAAGTTGACGTGGGTGGATCGCTTGAGTCCAGCAGTTGGAGACCAGCCTGGGCAACATAGCAAAACCCCATCTCTACAAAAAATTAGAAAATTCAACCGGGCATGGTGGCACACCTTGTTGTCCTAGCTACTAGGGAGGCTGAGGGGGTAGGACTATTTGAGCCCAGGAGGTCCAGGCTGCAGTGAACCATGAGCCTGCCACTGCATTCCAGCCTGGGTGACAGAGTAAGACCCTGCCTCAAAAAAAAAAATTACTTTTAATTTATTTTATTTTTATTTTTATTTTTGAGGCAGGGTCTCACTCTGTCACGCAAGCGGTAGTGCAGTGGCACAATCTCGGCTCACTGCAGCCTTGACCTCCCAGGCTCAAGCATCCCTCCTGCCTCAGTCTACCAAGTAACTAGGACTACAGGTACAGGCCACCATACCCGGCTAATTTTTGTAATTTTTGTAGAGCCGGGATCTTTCTATGTTGCCTAGGCTGGTCTCGAACTCCTGGGCTCAAGCAATCTGCCCATCTTGGTCTCCCAAAGTGCTGGGATTACAGGCGTGAGCTTCCACGCCCAGCCAAAAAGAAAAAAAAAAAAATTAAAAATTTGCTAACTAGGAAGGAGAATTCATCACAAGTTTTATACTATATAGGCTCTGAAAACATATTTTAATTACTTTTTAAAGTAACTGCTAACTCTGATTATTTTAAAAAACAAATACGCAGTTGAATTTAAATATCATGTGTACGTTGGTTTGAAGACAGTCGGTGTTCCATTCTGAGATACAGCATAATGTCAACTAAAATCTTTGGAAAATTTCTATAAAGAATCATTTCTCCTAATATGATGCTAATACTTACAACAAACATTCATAACTAGCTATGCTTTCAAAAATATTCACTGAAGAATTTGTAATATATAAAGTAAAAATGCATTTCTGTTTCATGTGAAATAGGAGTAGCATTTATATAGTATGCTTAGCAATAAAATCTTGAAAGATAAACAATTCATCTAACAAGTAACAGAAATCTACATCATATTTCAGAATATTCTACTAAAGGAAAATAACTTTGGCTTCCTTATAACCTCCTAATATATTCCAACATACTTCATCATATACAAGAACCTATGCATATATTTCTTCAAAGGATATTTTCTCATGTTCCAATGTTAGTGAGGAAAAGAAATATCTTTAAAATTGCAAACCCAGAAGTATGTCTCTTTCCTCTCAACATGTCACATTTTTATTTCCATGTTGTTGCTTTAAAACCTAGCATATTGCTAGCAGGCCACAAGATGTCACTATTTGTTTATTAATAATTTGGCCCCTCAGCATAATTACTACGATTGAGGGCTAGTCAACTGAATTGCCTAACAAAGATGGTATACTTGAGTTCCTAATAAATCACACCTAATTCAAATATTTTGTTCTTGTTTCCTTTTATACCACACAATTTGGAAAATTAAAGCATATGAGAGCTAAGCATGAGATTCTTATTTGCTTTAAATAAGAAGGTAAAAAACATCACACACACATGCGTTTTTACTTTATATATTACAAATTCTTCAGTGAATAATTATTTTTGAAAGCATAGCTAGTTATGAATGTTTGTTATAAGTATTCGCATTATATGAGGCCTGTTGGGGGGTGGGAGCAAGGGGAGGGAGAGCATTAGGACAAATACGTAATGTATGTGGGGCTTAAAACCTAGATGACAGGTTGATAGGTGCAGCAAACCACCATGGCACATGTATATCTATGTAACAAACCTGCATGTTCTGTACATGCATCCCAGAACTTAAAGTAAAATGTAAAAAAAAGATTAAAAAAAAGCCTACTACAATTTTGAACTGGTTTAAAAAATAAGTATAAACATGATAATAATCTATCATATATATTGTAATAGTGACTTACGTTACATGATTTAATTCTCACACATACTGTGGGATATTTATTATTATTTATTTACTATTATTATACCCATTTTATAGATGTGAGAATTGAGACCATCTCTGTCAATATGCTCAGACAATACCTACAGACTGCTGGTTCAGCATCATTTATTTATTTGACCCAGGAAAAGATAGAAAATCGTCAACATCAATACATTGGAGACAACAGACTGCTTAACAGGTAAGCAGCTTGTTTATTAACCATAGTTTATGAATCCAGGCTTGCTATGTCCATTTAAACTGTTATGAAGTATGCCAAATCCTACTCAATTTCCCATCTTGAAAGGCATACTTTAAACCGCTCGAACCAGAAAGCCAAATCCTATTAATATTTCATTTCTTTTGCCCCCCTTAAGAGACAGTGCAAAGACTGTCAAGGTGGTGTTCAATATATTAAGTCTTGCTCTACTAACCAGTTGTCTCCAAGTAGGCTTTAGAGCCTATTTAGCTGATATTTTAGGGGGTTCTGCCGGTGAGAAAATAGAAGCCCAGAATCATTAAGATAATTTGCTCAAAGGTTGACAGCTAGAAATGAGCAGTCCCAGGTTGAGATGTTACATCTGGGCTTTTTCTAGACAACTGTTGTGGTGAGAAGGAAAGAGCGTTCTCAGAACGTTTATATCAATATAGTTAAATTATAAGAATTATTGATACAGTGAAGTTTAATTATAATTAAATATGTGATTATCAATATAGGTAAACGCCTAACACAGTGCTTGCCAAGTAATTGCTATTTTCTCCTTTTTGGGTATTATTTCACTTTTATGCTCTAATATTACTATTAAAATCTGGAACAAAAAGTGCTCTGGATATTGGCTAGTAGAGAAAAGAGATATGCTTATGGAAGTTAATTGTGTAAGAATTCACAGATCATTGATTTCTTTCCACTGTTTTTCACTGATAAATTTCAACAGCGTTACCTAGATGTCCACTGAGGAAACTGTTTGCCAAATTATTCTTCTAAGCAGTATTTTTCTCCTCTGTTTTCTCAGGACAACTCTAATTACAACCTTGTCGTTTGATAAAAGTTTCTTGAAATGTCTTAGTTCAAACAACAAAGATTAGTATTTCTTTGATGAATTTTCCCTTTTCATTACTATCTCTGACTACTGATGATGCAACTACATAATTTAAGGTTTCCGAGGATCTAAGACTAATCGTTTTTTAAGTGCTTAAACTTTGTGCCATGTATTTTGCAAAGTAGCTTATATAATAATGAAGTTGTAATAACAGACAACTGATACTATTATCATCCTCATTTTCCACATTAAAAAAAAACAGGTTTAGAAACGTTAACGTGCTCAAGATTATATGTGGTGTGTGGGAGGGTCTATTCAAATCCAGATCTATCTGTCTCTAAACCCTATTTTTTTATTTCCACAATGGACCCTACTGCAGTCAGCCTATGACTTTAAAAATGGCTTAATTAATAAGAAAATGGAGGCACTCTAACAAATATAATAATCATATGGGTAAAATCAATTGACTGTGTATTGTAAAGCTGATAGCTGTGCCTGCCATATCTCTATTCTAATCAATCCCAGCTGGGGAGTACATAAATTAAGGTCAGTGCCTCAGAATAAAATAAGTCAATGGTGGTAGCTCAGAATAAAAATGGTATTTTGATTTTTAAAGATTATCAACTAAACAAAATAATGAATCATCAGAATCAATATTATCTCCCATGAAACTGATGTTCACCAGTGCTGGGTGAATGACTGGCACTTTCTAGAGATTTGGAACCTTGGTAACTCCTCACAATAATGCTCCCTCCTCATGGAACCATTCCCCACACACGCCTCACCTGTTATGAAGCTGATGGTAGAGCTGTCACAGCAGCTCAATTCTGGATCTCCCCACGTCACCATGGTAACCCGGAAGTTGTAGTACCATGCTGGCAGCAGATTAGCTATTCTCTGAATGAGAAAAGCAAGCAAGGAGACAAAAGACTGTGGGAGAAAGTACTATTTTTGGAGTAGAGTTACTTTCATAAAAAATTAATACGTAATTTTAATTTTCCTTTATATTGTCTTTTTGTATTTCCTAAATTTACTATAATAAAATATTCTTTCTAGAATGAAATGAGATATAAAGTAAAATACAAAAATATAAATTTTAAAAAGTGATTTAAAGATATACAGCCAAAGATTTCCAATATTTGTTTCATTTTGCAATTTCATAATATTACACACGTGAAATAGTGCTTATTTATAAGTGACTGTACATACATTTCTCCCTATTTCTAAGACAAGTAATCTCTCACAACTCGGTGTTTTTTCAAGGTAAACCATGAACAGGAGTCCTTCAGAGTCTTCAACTGGGTAGAGAGCAATTGTGTACTTTGTGAATAGCCCATGGGTAATCTACACTTTTCAAAATTATCTCAATTTCAGAAAGAGCAATTTTTACCCGTTTTCTTAAAAACCATCCTCTAAAAGCCTGACATTAGAGGTATTTAATTGATCTGTGGATGCCACGAAGAGGCATCATTAAAATTAGGCAGTATCAAACTAACTATTGAATACTAAAGGGAAATCTCTTTGTGTTCCTCCCCAGGATCTGGGAGAAGCAATAAGCACTTGATTGCTCTATTCTGTGCTTAGGAAAAAATGTTCATTAACAAATATATTCAATTAGAGATGACTGCTAGCTTCACACAATTATCTCTTTCCCTCCCTCTCAAAACAAAAGAGAATCTCAAAACCTAAAAGCAAAAACAACGAAAAAACCTTGAAAATAGCCATACCTATCTGATATGGTTTGGCTGTATCCCCAGCCAAATCTCATCTTGATTTCCCACGTGTTGTGGGAGGGAGCTGGTGGGAGGTAACTGAATCATGGGGGCAGGTCTTTCCCGTGCTGTTCTGATGATAGTGAGTAAGTCTCTTTAGATCTGATGGTTATTATAAGGGGGAGTTTTCCTGCACAAGCTCTCTTGCTTGGTACCATCCATGTAAGACATGACTTGCTCCTCTTTGCCTTCTGCCATGATTGTGGGGCTTCCCCAGCCACGTGGAACTGTAAGTCCTATTAAACCTCCTTCTTTTGTAAATTGCCCAGTCTTGTGTATGTCTTTGTCAGCAGCATGAAAATGAACTAATACAGTAAATTGGTACTGAGAGTGGGGTGCTGCTGAGAAGATACCTAAAAATGTGGAAGTGACTTTGGAACTGGGTAACAGGCAGAGGTTGGAATAGTCTGGAGGGCTCAGAAGACAGTAAAATGTGGGAAAGTTTGGAATTCCCTAGAGACTTGTTGAATGGCTTTGACCAAAATGCTGATAATGATATGGACAATGAAATCTTTAGGAACTGGAGCAAAGGTGATTCTTGTTATGTTTTAGCAAAGAGACTGGCAGCATTTTGTGCCTCCCTTAGGGATTTTGGAACTTTGAACTTAAGAGAGATGATTTAGGGTATCTGGCGGAATAAATTTCTAAGCAGCAAAGCATTCAAGAGGTGACTTGGTGCTGTTAAAGGCATTCAGTTTTAAAAGGTAAACAGAGCATAAAAGTTTGGAAAATTTGCAACTTGACAATGTGATAGAAAAGAAAATCCCATTTTCTGAGGAGAAATTCAAGTTGGCTGCAGAAATTTGAATAAATAATGAGGAGCTGAATGTTAATCCCCAAGACAATGGGGAAAATGTCTCCAGGTCAGGTTAGAGGTCTTCATGGAAGCCCCTCCCATCACAGGCCTGGAGGTCTGGGAAGAAAAAGTGGTTTCGTGGCCCATGCGCAGGGTCCCTGTGCTGTGTGCAGCCTAGAGACTTGGTGCCCTGCATCCTAGCCATGGGTGAAAGGGGCCAACGTAGAGATCAGGTGGTGGCTTCAGAGGGTGCAAGCCCCAAGCCTTGGTAGCTTCCATGTGGTATTGAGACTGTGGGTGCACAGGAGTCAAGAATTGAGGTTTGGGAACCTCCACTTAGAGTTCAGAAAATGTATGGAAACACTTGGATGCCCAGGCAAAAGTTTGCTGCAGCAGGGCAGGGCCCTCATGGAGAACCTCTGCTAGGGCAACGTAGAAGGGAAATGTGGGGCCAGAGACCCACACAGAGGCCCTACTGGGGTACTGCCTAGTGGGGCTGTGAGAAGAGGGCCGCCACCCTCCAGACTCCAGAATGGTAGACCCACTGACAGCTTGCACTGTGCACCTGGAAAAGCTGCAGACACTCGATGCCAGCCTGTGAATGCAGCCAGGAGTGGGGATATATGCTGCAAAGCCACAGGAGTGGAGCTGCCCAAGACCATGGGAACCCACCTCTTGCATCAGCATGACCTGGATGTGAGACATGGAGTCAAAGGAGATTATTTTGGAGCTTTGAGATTTGACTGTCCCACTGGATTTTGGAGTTGCATAGGGCCTGTAGCCTCTTTGTTTTGGTCAATGTTTCCCATTTGGAACAGCTGTATCAATGCCTGTACCCCGAATGTATCTAGGAAGTAACTAACTTGGTTTTGATTTTACAGACTCATGAGCAGAAGGGACTTGCCTTGTCTCAGATGAGACTTTTGACTGTGCACTTTTGAGTTAACTAGTTAAGACTTTTCAGGACTGTTGGGAAGGCATGGTTGGTTGTGAAATGTGAGGACATGAGATTTGGGAGGGGCAAGGGGAAGAATACTATGGTTTGGTTGTGCTCCCACCCAAATCTTATCTTGAATTCCCACATATTGTGGGAGGGACCTTGTGGGAAGTAACTGAATCATGGGGGCATGTCTTTCCCATGCCATTGTTGTGATAGTGAGTAAGTCTCATGAGATCTGATGGTTATTATAAGACGGAGTTTTCCTGCACAAGCTCTCTTTGCTTGCTGCCGTCTGTATAAGACGTGACTTGCTGTTCCCTGCCTTCTGTCGTGATTGTGAGGCTTCCCCAGCCACGTGGAACTGTAAGTCCAATTAAACTTCTTTCTTTTGTAAATTGCTCAGTCGTGAGTGTTTCTTTATCAGCAATGTGAAAATGAACTAACACACTATGTATATTTACAAAATAATCAAATTTATAGATAATTTTTAAAAGATACATTTGGTACATAAAGGCTTGCCTGTTCCCATAGGAAAGAGTGACAGTTGGTTAAGGGAAGATTACCACAGATGCAGTTAAGGAGACAGTTGCTGCTATTTCGTAGTAGGTTGTCCACTCCGATGTCATTGTAGCAGGGTTGAAATAAAACATTTCA